GGTCTTAATGTATTTCCTGGCCTCCCTCTTTTATCTCATGTGAATATGGGATGGGTGGGAGAGGGAGGGTGGCTGAAGTGTCTGGGCTCAAGCCATGTTTATCTGATTGTTGCTTTCCTATCAGATTGTCCCTCTGTCCTTTAAGGCCATCCATCATACCTCACCATACCACACATTCTCCTATGGACTACTGCAATACAAGTAGTCCTAGACTTACAGTGACCAGTTTAGCAACCATTTGAAGTTACAAAAAGTGACTTATGACCATTTTTCACACTTATGACTGTTGCAGCATCCCCATGGTCATGGGATTTACCTTCAGATGCTTGACAACTGGTTCATATTTATGACGGTTGCAATGTCCCGGGGGGGGTGTCATGTGATCCCCTTTTGTGACTTTCTGACAAGCAAAGTCAATGGGGGAGCCAGATTCACTTAACAAGAGTGTTACTGATTTAACAGCTGCAGTGATTCACTTAACAAATGTGGCAAGAAATGTCATAAAATGGGCAAAACTCACTTAACAAATTTCTCACTTAACATCAATTTTGGGCTCAATTGTGGTCGCAAGTCAAGGACTACCTCTGCATGGGGCTGCTTTTGAAGACAAGCTGGAAGCTGCAGTAGCCTGCATGTTGTTTGGCAATCATCAGCACAAGCACCTCACACCAGTGCGGCAGGCTCCCAACTGGCGGGCAATAGCTTCCTGTGCAACTCAAAGATTAGTTTTGACCTATACAAACCCTTTATGATTTCCAGCCAGATACACTCATTGAGAACAATTTCTGGAAGTTCCCTACCTCAGTGAGGTGAACGGGGGCAAATGCTGGCAGGTGCTGTTTCTCAGTGATAGCTTCTTTTTTGTGGAACAGACTCAGTTTGGTTAGCCCCCATGTTGGTCTCCTCAAGCAGTGATGATGGTGTTATGCATTCAATTATGTCTGACTCTTGGCAATTTTACGTGTCAGGTCTCCCCACATCTTCTGATCTTGTGCTCCTTGAATTGTTCTGTGTTCTGGCTGATGTCAGCTTTGATGGCATCCAGCCACCATGTTCTTTGACAGCCTGGTTTCCTTTTACCACTAACTCTTCCTAGCATAATTGCTTTCTCCAGTGAATTTCTCTGCAGGACATGGCCAAATCAAGTGAGACGCAGTTTTGTGATTTTTGCCTTCTACTGACATGTCTGGTGTTATGCCAAGCAATAGGTTGGATAATTTTTTTCCAGTTTATTATATTAATTCATCATTTTACCATGGATGTTTTTATGCAGAGTTTATAGTGATGTTTCGAGATATAAATTGCTAGAGACACACACAAACACAGTAACCAAAAATGTATCATTAAAATCCTTTAAAAAGTCATACAAAGTATTAATACCTGTAATACACATGCCTGTAGCCATATGGTATATGTCAGGAGTTATGGTGAGAATATAAAATTAGTAATCTTGAACTTGTATGCTAGAGTTCTGAGTATTATGTCATGATCAGTTTGGCCAAATGGTTCTGCTCAGATGGTCTTGGTTTTTCACTTGCTGTGTTATGGTTGTGTGTTTTACATTATGTTCTGCCATGAAATTCTAATGGGGCATATAAAATGGGATGTACCGAGATAACTTAACTTCGTAACATGGAAAGGACAAAATTGGGTAGAATGGTGAAGCGGGAATATTGTGGAATCTGTAGGCAAGTGGCAGTCCAACCATTTTTTTTTAGCAGCTGGTAGGCTGTCTTTGGCAAGGCTTTCTGGCAGTGCCTTTTTTGCCCAGGAAATCCCCAGCACAGAAAGAGGTAGTTCTGGAAAGCACATTTTAAAAGTCTTTTCTCTGTAAGGCAATCTAAAATAAATTAAATAATGATTCTAACACTGTATGGTCCAATGTATGGTCCTTTGGAGGAAAAATGCTTGCCAGAACCTGCTAAAACAACCATCATGATTGATGGCGTTCAACTTTCTGCAAGTTTTAAAAATTTATTCTTATTTCTGGATGTCCTGAAAACTTCCAGCAACCATGTTTTACATTGGTTGTTCTGGAGCATCACAACAAAATGCCGATTTTCCTGCCTTCCATGCTGTTGAAATAATTCATTAGACTAATAGCTCAGGATTTCAGAGAGCTATTAATTCAGAGGGAATTAATGGCAAATTCAAGCATGTTCTACTCAAGCTTTTTCACTAGGGCTACTGAGGAGGAATTATAGTATATCTTATATATTTTAAAGACACCTAAATTATCAATAGTTGTGTTACAATTGTCAAATTAAAATATGAAAAATTGCACCCAACTACAAAAGTAGCAACTTGGCATGCACAGTATCATTTTAATCAGTGACTGAAAAAAAAACTATCAATGTGAATTCTTACTTTGAATATGAACCACAGGAAGTTTTGAAGCATAAGCAGAGAGTGTGGGCATTCAGTAAACTCATCATATCTCAAAATGCTTAGTAAGTAGAATTGCAAATTAATAAAACCCCCAACATTTAAATTAGTTTTTTTCCCTGATGGTTCAGTTTGATTTAAAACAGAATGCAATGCAATGCCACATACTACAATACAACTTCATCTCCTCCCTCAGATGTGAAGTGGAGCTCAACCACATTTTGGTCAGCATGTGGTTAGAAAACCTAACTTGGAAGTATCATTTTCATGCATTTATCCAACTCATAGTAAAATACATACTTTTATATAGACATGCACTGGAACTAAAGTATTCATATGATTTGGGGGGAGATTATATGGAAATACTTTCTAATGATTTGGGGAGAATTAAAGTCAGTTCCAACATTTTTTTTTTAATGGAGCCTTCAAGTCAGTGTTGATTCCTGATGATTACCTGGACCTGTCCACACAGATTTCTTGGCAAGATTTCTAGAAAATGGTTTGCCATTGTATCCTTTCTAGAACTAAGAGAGAGGGACTGACTCCAGGTCACCCATCCCAGGCTTTATGACTCAGGTGGGAATAGAATTCCTGATCTCCCATTTTTAGCCTGGTGCCTTAATCTCTCCATCAAACCAGCTCTAATATAGTTCATAAAGAATATTACTTAATATTATATGCAAGTTGGTAAATTAATCTACTAGCAATACAGAAAATGCATCACAATTAGTAATCACAGAACTAAGTCCTGTGTCCGCAAGGAGAAGGGCGGGATATAAATATAAGCAATAAATAAATAAATAAATAAAAGTGGCCTCAATAGTTTCTTGAGATTTAATTTCAACAGTAATTAAATAGGCCTGGGTAGGATCATCAGCAATGAATGCTGGTTTGACCCATAAACCAAGGCTTATTTCAGTAATAAAAGAAAAGGAACTCCTGCTTTGACAACATAGCCTGCTTGAGTTGATCCAATGGGGAGAAGTTAGGAAAATTGAAGGTTTCTCCTGCCTCAGTCCATAAGATCAATCAGCCTTGCCTGGGCCTTATGCGAAGTTTAACTCGATGAAAAGGAGGAGGCAGAGGAGTTAGATTGTAGTAGTGATTTAACCAAGTGGAAGTCTACTCGTTAAAGGTCTATGCAAAACGGAATCTGATCAAGATGCAACTGCTACATCTTTAAAAAGAAAGCAGATGAAGCTGTGACTGTTGCCACTATACTATGCCCTTGGAAGCCGTTTATCTTGCACCTGTTACTTATGCACTGCCTGCTTGGTACAGGGGGAGCAGATGGCAAGGAAATCTGTTTGGACTGGGGGAGGCACCCTGAAACCTGTTGGCAATTGTGTCTTGAGGCTTCATAGAAAAAGGTTGCAGTTGCCATCCAATGTAAGACCAAGCTGCCAACTTGAAACTTGTATGGATATACTGTAAGGTATTTTTCCGGCATATATGAAGATTATAGAATTTGTTGCTTTTATCTGTAAATGTTTTCCCAGGAAACTGTGTTATAGCAGTAGCCCCAAATGGTAATAATATCAGCATGAACATAGTCAGGCAAAGCAGATTATCGAGCTGGGTATCAACATTTAGAGTGAGACTCTGAAAAGAGGGAGGATGGTGATGTAATCCAACAGCACTAGTAGCAGCCTGCTCGGTGAAGTGCCTACATGTGTTTTCAGATTTCCAAGATGTAAGGATTAGTTTCCAGACTGGTAAGGATTCAGAAAACACACACACACACACAGACACACACACGGAATGTGTTCCTACATTATCAGTGAAGACACCTGCCAGTTAACAGAAAAGCAAAAAAATAATAAAAATAATTAGGAGCATTTCACCCTTAATGTATACAACGTATTAGCTGTAAAAGGGAAAAAGTCCAGTTGCAAGAGTTCTCCATTTCTTTCCTCTGAATAAACCTTGCTAAAGAGTCTCTGAGAATCAAGGTTGAAAAAGGAATTAATTTTAATTTTAGCTCGAAGTCAAGCAGCCTGACACAAAATTGCTTGTCCTTGTAGTGATGACTGTTACATCCTGAGCTTGTTATGTCTATCTCTCTCAATCCTTAAGGATATAGAATTGTGGTAACTTCCTTTAACTTCTGAACGGCTACCAGACATTTTATTCTGATGAACCTTTCCCCTAAAAATTATATACCGTATTTTCCGGCGTATAAGACGACTGGGCGTATAAGACGACCCCCAACTTTTCCAGTTAAAATATAGAGTTTGAGCGAGAGAGGGGGGGGGAGAAAACTTGATGAGTAATATTCCAAACCACATGTGTAAAGGAATAAAATAGAATACCCGTATTTTCTGGCGTACAAGACGACTGGGCGTATAAGACGACCCCCGACTTTTGAGAAGATTTTCAGGGTTTAGAAAGTCGTCTTATACGCTGGAAAATACGGTACTGACAAGTCTTACCAACCACTATATTTCCATGCACAATTTTATTCTTAATTACTTTCCTCTCCCCTCTCCCCCAACATTTTCATACTGCAACTTGTCAATATTTATTTATCCATACATACACACAACCCATACATTTGTTTAGTTGGGGGGGGGGAGGGAAAACCTCTTTCAGCAGATTGTTTTTTTTATCCAAAGAAGAATCTTTATTTGGAAGAATCTTACAATACAGTCATTTGGAAGCTCTAATGAACATATGATCCTAAAGTTGTGACACTGCATTTCACAATCTCAGAACACTGGTCAAGATTCTTCTTAATTCTATAGAATTTCTCCACATATTCAGATCGACTCAGCAGTTCCACAAAATCTTCATCGTGAGTTATCACAAGGAGTTGAAAGTTACGCTGCTGAGATCTACTTTTGATTATCCTTCAAAGGAAAAACAAATATCGTATATGTAACACAAAAGCTGATATAATCCAGAATGCACACTTAACCCAATTCTTCTAGGTGAGAGAAGCTCTGAGAAAATTGCACCTCAGATTGTTATGAGACCATTAGAGTCGGTCAAGGAAAACAGAGAGTGTTACTTGAAAGAGGTCAGTTATTTGGCTTGTCCAGATCCCATGAGAAGTGATGTCAGGCAAGTAAGAAAGCAGAACAGGACCTGCCCAGTTCTGAGGAACAGTATTTACCAAACACTGTATGTGCTTTGTGTTAAGATAACTAAAATATTTCTATTTATTAAAAGCTTTATACATACCCCTTTATTTCTAGCCATAACATTATTTCTCTTGCTTTTATATTACTAATTTTTAGGGCTGAATTCCAGTTCTAAATATAGGAACCTGCTGGTTTTAAGAAACAAGAATACTAAATTCTACATCATGTTGATGTCTTTGGACCAATAAACACCCTTTTTACGATCCTGTAATCCCTTAATTCAGAGTAGGGTTGATTTCTACTAAATAAGCAGTGAGTGGCATGTAACCCATGAGGACTCCATTTGCTGGACGGGGGCTTACTTCAACATCATACTAGCCTAGAGTAATTTTCCCAGTTGATCATCACCAGAAGCACTGTAGATTTTGCCATAGCCTTAGTTCAGTTGAATACTAGCTGAACATAGAGGAAACACACGTTGGGGTAGGGGATAGCATCATAGCCTCTAATTTGGAACAAAAAAGTGGTAGATAAATACAGCAGGGCTTTTCAACCAGTGGTATGGGTACCACCTGTGGTACATTGGCACCTGGCAGGTGGTACGCGACCATCCTAGAAAAGTGGTAGCTAGGGAGGGGAATGAGCTGAACCAGTGGCAGCACTGCACAAGCCTGAGCGACAGATGGCTGGGCTCAGCGGAAGCGCCAGGATCAGTGCCACTTTCCAGCTGATCGGCGCTTCTTCAGGACTGTCAGGGCTCAGTGGAAGTGCCAGGATCAGTGCCAGGCTCCAGCTGGAGCTTGGCGCTGATCCTGGTGCTTCTGCTGAGCCCAGAAGAAGCACCGATCAGCTGGAATGTTACAGCATCTCCAGGGTCTTGTGATTTACATTCAGATGCTTGGCAACTGATTCATATTTATGACGGTCAGTGTCCCAGGGTCATGTGAAGTGACCAAAACCTGCTGCAACCACCCAGCAGACGGGGGGAATAAAAACCAAACACCCCCCCACCCCACCCCCACTGCCAATCCTCAATAGAAATGCTCACAACAATGGAAACCTCAGACAGGAGGAGGTTTTTGACACCTTGCTAGGCGACTGGTGGTACTCGGATATTGCCATATCCTAAAAGTGGTACAATGGGTGAAAAGGTTGAAAAGCCCTGAAATATAGAACAGATTTGCCTGAAACTGAATCTATTGCTACTAACATTTCACATGCAGACAATTATCTGAATTACTAGCTGTTTATTATGCATGGAAAGTTTCCACAGGGTTTATCTTATGTCTGAGGAAGCGTAAGATTGATGAAGACTGTTTATTATGTGTATAGAGGCTGTCTTTGAGTTATGACTGTAACTGAGCCCAGACATCATAACTTTGAAACTGGATTGTAAGTCTCATTTTCGGGGTTCATAATAACTTTGGTTGCTAAGTGACTGGTTTAGTCAAGGGCTCCCTGTAATTTTTAGTTCCGCATAAGTAAATCATCTTAAATTTCTTAATAAAATCTGTGGATACTTACTCCACCAAAGCATGTGCAAGAGATTCAATATTTTCTCGGTCAAGATTGGTGGTAGGCTCATCCAATGCAAGAATACCACAATTGAGACAGAAGGATTCAGCCAGGGCAAGACGAATAATGAGAGAGGCAAGAACCTAAAATTAAAATAAATATCACCATTTGATAAATGGACCGAAATACAAATGTATTTAAAATGCATTACTATGATTAAGTACTCACTTAGTATGTGAGAAAAATGATATGTTTAAAATGCTAAGGGTGCTACTAAAGATCCCCAGTTTTCTTAAATAAGTATCATTTCCAAGCTTTGAAAAAAGTATTAGAATATTTGTAGCATACATTAATTTGATGCAAGTCATTAGCCATGGTTAAACTTCTTAGCCCTCTGGTAAAGGAAACCTCAATTAATCTTGTCTTTCTAAGGCTGAAAGCATCCCTAATAATTTGTGTACCTTTACAGCACAGTAGCACTGAGACAACAAAAAGCGTATCTTGACTGATCACTCTTTAGTTTTTCTATAGGCGGAACCTCCAATCTCTTGGGAAGAAATTATGGATTTACTAGACCATTTGCCATGTGGAAAAAAGACATAGTCTGTATATGAAAAGACCCTTTAGAGATAACTACCACTTGGGGTAATCTGGCATTAGTCACCAGCAATTCCTATGCAAGCACTTTATGTTTTAAATTTATAATACTAAAAGATCTACACACTTGAATTGGCTGAGTCACTTTCTCCTTCCAAGAACAGAAAAAGAGAGTTGGGTATTTTGTAATTATTATCCTTACAATTTTCTTAGTAAATTCCCTTCTGTTTCAAGTATTTCTATGAAAATATTCATATAGTTCTGGAAGGTATGATTTATCAGCATTCAAGCTTAAATGAGCATGTTCTACTTCAAATGGTTAAACTAGAGAAATCTGAGTAATATATTTGATTACAAATTAAAGAGAATCCAGCAATCATGACTCATTACTATGGTTACTTTCTGAATTCAAGACTGAGTGAAAGTATATGAAAAGTTTCTAAAATTTTAATTTTTATTACAATAGGTAGCATCTAACTACAGTGGGTATATTATATCTTATTTTATGAACCAAAAAATAATTGAAAATGACTAGGTAAAATGCACCCAGAACAGCATCAAGTGCTTGCTGGGTTTTAAACCAGCCACATAAATCTGCAATCATATCCTATGGTACACAAACATCACATCTTTTTCACCAGTTAAAAAAAACTGAGATCTTCCCATCTAACAGTCTTTCTCCCCTGCACTTTTTCTTAGCACAACTGATGCAACATACCCTTCACTATGTTTTGTCATTGAAAGATTCAGTGATGACAGATCACGGGTCACTGAGCTAATGAGGAGGTCTCCCCCTCAAGAATACATTTCCTCCCCCCAAATTAAAATACAAAATAATTTTGCTTAAGTGCAGTTGACAGGTTCCATGTATATTTAGATACGCAAAGAGGAAATTACAAAGGAACATTTAAAAAGAGATGGATCAGAGTTTCTTCCCTACAACAGGGGTGGCAACAGTTTGTGTTTATGAATCTTTGCATCTCTGCATGATTTATTATTATTTTTTGCCTTTTAAAACCTGAAATAAGCCTTATTTAGATACATTAAGCCTCACCTATTTTGGTAAAAAAAAAAAAAGCCTACTCTTACAAGGATTGGTACACAATGAAGAAGACTTTCATTGAAATGTTTCTGTGACAGACACCACCATCACCTCTCATATTATGATGAGGTTACTAATAATAAGCATTACATGCACAAGTATTTTCAGTCCCAAGCTGGTTGGTCAAATTTGAACATCCATCTTGCATTTAAATAAGCTAAGAAGAGAGGAATGCAAACTATGTCTCAAAGGTGATTTTTCAAAAGGCAAGCAGACTATGATTTTTTTCCCCTTGAGGAAGAAGAGGTTTTACTTCTTATCCAAGAAGCTTCTGGATCCAGTTCTGGCTGGATCATGGACCGGGGGTGGGGGGAGAGAAATGGAAGGATTAGTCTGATCATTACCACCCCCCAATCCAACCAGCTTCTTGGATGAGAAGCGAAACATCTATACCAGAGGTGGCGAACCTATGGCACGGGTGCCAGAGGCGGCACTCAGAGCCCTCTCTGTGGGCACGCGTGCCGTCGCCCCAGTCGCCCCAGTCCTAGTTCATTGGGTTTAATATGTAATGTATGTTTTCCATAAATCTTCCCTTGGGAAAAAAATATGAATTCATTCTTTGTTCTTTCTCATTCCGTCTCGCTTGGCTAATTGTAGGGTCACTATTTCTGAGTTCACCTTTTCAACAAATACTCTAGATCCTATTCCTAGTATAAATGTCTACAAATCAATGAATTGGCAGGAAAACAATAGGCTGCTACGTACCTTTTGGCCAGCACTGCACCTGCCCCTCATATCTAGAGCAGTGTCTCCTTTTGTCATGACTACCCTATAATTGTAACTCCTCCTTTTGTCAGAAGCAGAAATATTCTCATCAGCATCAGACCGAATTTCTATATAGTCAATATCTTTAAGAAGAAGAAAAAAACAATTTTATGCAGTTGGTTGCCAAAGCAATTTTTTTTTTACCTTAAAGCAATCTAAACATTATCTACAGAATGAATCCACTCTATTACCATATAGGCATAAGTCATTTGTCCATAATATTGTCACATTAGTTCAGATTTTTTGTCAAAAGCTTTTCCAGATCTTGTTTGGGTACTGATACATTTTTATTTTGCCTCCGTTAGCCAAGGAGATGGATTTTCCTTATAACCCACTCTCCAAAGCACTGCTCATAATTTTTTTTTTAACAAATGTAAATCCTAAAAGTACTAATTTTGAAAAGAAAAAGAAAAGAAATTTCAAAATGCAGAATTCTGGTAACTCAGCAATTGCAATATATATAAGTTTGTAAAGAGGAAGATGATTGTGTAACAAGGCAAGTAATAGGAAATAATTCATCTAAATGTATCAATTAAGATGACTCAACTGGAAATGCCATATTGCTTATTATGGAAGATTATATAACCTCTCAAGGACTGACTGTATAAATCTATTTTTATCTTAAAGAAAGATGATCTCAGAATTTATCCCTAATACTCCCCACCCCCAATAAAATATATTGCAAAGATATATACTGTACATATATATTTGTACCTTGGCCCCTGTATGTGCTTCGCCACAAATCACGAACTATCTTGTTAATTTCTTCCATTTTCATGCTATGAAATGTCATTATTGCTCTAAGAGATGGAAAAGAGTAAACAGATTTTTAAAAATGTAAGTCCCTTTGCTTTCACTATAATCTGTTGTGCTTTGACATTCAGGAATGATGCCAGTCCTATGTAAAAAGTTCTACTACAAGCATGATAAAAAGACTATCTTGCCTGGAAACTACACTACTAAAATTCCATATACTGAACCTTGTACGATATCTTCAGGTATTCTCAAGAGATGCTATAATAAATGTCACAACCCTTTCTAAATAACTGACACCACAATCCAACAAAAATGGGTTGCTGATATTCATGGATCCAAGTACACTATGGTGTAAGCATTCATTGTTTAACATTGATCATAAATAAGGCCATAAGTAGAAACAAATTTAAAGCATTCTGCATTCGCTTAAAATAATATTTAAAAGAACTTGATTTTAAAATAACAAATTTTATCAGAAAATATGTAAAACAGGGGTCTTTAAACTTGGCCCTTTTATAATTTGTGGACTTCAACTCCCAGAATTCCTCAGCCAGCATGGGAGTTGAAGTCCACAAGTCATAAAAGGGCCAAGTTTGAAGACCCCTGATTTAAAGGATAGTATTTATTATAGTAATCGTAATGTGAGCTTCAAAATATTTTTCCTTCTTACAGAAGTAGAAATATATATAATTATTAGGACATATTTGGATTATAAAAAGATTGCTGACCAAGTATGCCAAATAAAATAAACATGTAATTAATTCATATACAGTGTAACAAGACATTCAAAACTCTGCTTTAGGCCCATGCAACATTAACTTGGTGTCATTCCTCCCTTGCCAAATGCTGCCTAGTAAACCAGGATTTCTCATTTCACCATCTCAGGATATTCTGACTTTAAAATGGCTACTCTTGAACAAATATCCATACCAATATAAAATAGCTAAGCTATACAGGTAGTCCTCAACTTAAAGACCACAATTGAGCCCCAAATGTTTGTTGCTAAGTGAAACATTTAAGTGAATTCTGCCCCATTTTTTGACCTTTCTTGCTACAGTTGTTAAGAGAATCACTTCATTAACACAGTTGTTAATTTAGTAACAATAAAATCTGGCTTCCCCAAGCATCCAAATTTTGATTACGTGACTGTGGGGAAGTTGCAATGGTTGTGTGAAAAATGCCATAAGTGACTGTTTTCAGTGTTGTTGAACGGTCACTAAATGAACTATTGTAAGTCAAGGACTACCTGTATTCAATAAGATGTTCAACATTATTTACTAAAAGATTTTTTTTTACTTCCTAGAAAAAATTAATCATTAATCAACATGGCAGGGGAATAAATTTTCTTATGACACATTATAAACTAATACTATTATTTATAACTGAATCTCTATGATGTTAATTTTAGAGATTTAAAATTCCCAGAAATTTTAAACAGATGGAGAAAAAAAATATCTTTTTTTAGAAAAAAATTGTCCCAAATGTTTTGTTATATATATAATTTTTATTTTTTTTAAATAAAACAGTACAAATTTTGAAAGAAAAAGGAAAGTAAATAAAAATAACAGAAAAGAAAAACAAAAAGAAAAAAATTATAAACAAGCAGTTTTCAACCTTAACAGCAGTTATAAGTATATTTATATTTTACTCTTTCTCTGTATTTAGACCATAATTTCCTTCTTTCCATAATCTACCCTTCTGATCATCAAAGGTATAAATCACAATTTCATTTTATTCTTTTTTTAGCAAAAAGTCCATAAAAGGTTTCCAGTCATTAATAAATGCAGTTATTGTCCTTTCTTTAATCAAACAAATCAATTTTGTCATCTCTGCTTATTCTGTCATCTTCACCAGCCATTCCTCAATTGTGGAAATTTCAGGGTCTTTCCATTTTTACTTTGCATATAATAATCTCACAGTGCTTATATATAAAAACAATATTCCATAACTCTTTTCTAATTTCCTATTTAATAGCCCCAGCTGCTTTTGACCGAGTATTAAGGTTTCTTTGTATTCCCTGTATGTATTTGAAGTCAAAAGTTTCTGGCTATTTGCAGTCCACCAGGTATGATAAAAGGACCCTTCATGGTTTCTATATTTTCAACAGAAATCTGAACTATTTTATACTAGATAAAATAAATTATTTTTCTGGAGTCATGTACCAATGATGCATCATTATAATAAAAATTCTCTTTTAAATTATAATGTAAATTTCAATCATTTTAGTCACATATTTCCCATTGTTCTAAAATATATTAGGGCCAAAGTTCTTAGCTCATTTTATTATACACTCTCACTTGTTCTGTTTCAAATTTTAACAAAAGTTTATATATTTTAGCAATTACATGTTAATCATTTGTACATACTTCAATTTCAAATTCTGCCCTGTGCTGTTTAATTCAAAATGCCCTGTTATCTACTTTAAATCTTTCTCTTAACTGTGCATATGAAAACCATTGAAACTAAATGCCTCTGAAATCAATTGATCTCTTGATTTCATCTTATATTCTTCATGCTCTTGTAACAACTCTCAATACCATAATCATCTCTCTTGCTGTTTCTTTTCTATAAAATGCTGAGACCCTTAAAGTATTTGGGGCACAATCTGAATTTATATCTTTTATGTAGTTTCAATATGACATTTCTAATGTAGTGATCTTTAAAAGTTACATAACCCTTATGGTACCACAGAAAGTCATGCCATCCAAACTCAGGTTGTGCTCTTCTAGTGCTAGAACTCTCTTATTTTTCAGCAGCACCCATTCCTTCATCCAAAACAAGCAGCAGGATGCAAAATACATTTTCAAATCAGGCAGTCCTACTCTTCCTCATTCCTTTCCATCTTGGAGGTTCTTATATTTATATTTAACCCTTTGCTTTTCCCCTGGCCATAGAAATCTACATCTTTCTTCCATTGCTTAAAAGGTATCTCAGTTGTCAAAATACATTTTGTTTGAAACAAAAACAACATTCTAGGCCAGTGATGACAAACCTTTTAGAGACCGAGTGCCCAAACTGCAACCCAAAATCCACTTATGCATCCTCGGGTGCCGGGTGGGTGTGGCCAATTGGGTAGGTGTGGCCAATTGGTTGGGCATGGCTACGGTGGTAACGGCAGACTGGGTGGGGCTAAAAAGTTCAATCAATCAATTCCAACTTTGCAAGATCTATTTTTTCCCCACGAGAAGTTGAAATTGACTGATTGATTGAACCTTTTTTTTTTTTTTTGCACATGGCTGCGGAGGCCTAAAGCAGGGCTTTTCAACCTTTTCAACCATTGTACCACTTTTAGGATATGCCAATATCCGAGTACCACCAGTCGCCTAACAAGGTGTCAAAAAGATGACAAAAAAGGAAAAAAGTGATAACGTACAGGTAGTCCTCGACTTACAACAGTTCGCTTAATGACTGTTCGAAGTTACAATGGCACTGAAAAAAGTGGCCCCCAAGCCACAGCCGAGCAAGACATCTGCCTGCCCACCCAGCGGCGCTCTTCCTCCTGTTTGAGGTTTTCATTGTTGTGAGCATTTCTGTTGGGGATTGGCAGCGGAGGTGGGGTGGGGGGTGTTTGGTTTTTATTCCCCCCGTCTGCTGGGTGGTTGCAGCAGGTTTTGGTCAATTCACATGACCCTGGGACACTGTGACCATCATAAATATGAATCAGTTGCCAAGCATCTGAATGTAAATCACAAGACCCTGGAGATGCTGCACCAGGCGCTGATCCTGGTGCTTCCACTGAACCCTGAGAGCCCCGAAGAAGCGCCAATCAGCTGGAGCCTGGCGCTGATCCTGGTGCTTCCGCTGAGCCCTGACAGCCCTGCAGCTCCAGCCATCTCTTGCTCAGGCTTGCGCTGTGCTGCCACCGGTTCAGCTCATTCCCCTCCCCCGCTACCACTTTTCTAGGATGGTCGCATACTATCTCCCAGGTGCCAATGTACCACAGGTGGTACCCGTACCACTGGTTGAAAAGCCCTGGCCTAAAGCTCTGAGTGCCGCCTCTGGCACCTGTGCCATAGGTTCGCCACCATTGTTCTAGGCAATACATTCATTTTTATCACTGAAATTTTCTCCCACAATGACAACTGTAATTTTTCCCATCTTAGAATATCTTTCTTTATATCATTGAAACTATCATCCCGACTGGTTGGCCCAGGAGGAGGAGACGGAAGCAGGCCTTGAGACGGTTACATGGGAGGAGTTTGACTCTGTTGCTCCCGAGGACGTGGACAGGGTCCTGGGTAGGCTGAATGCAACCACATGTTTGTTGGATCCGTGCCCCTCCTGGCTGGTACTGGCAGCTCGGGAGGGTACACGAGCCTGGCTCCAGGGAATTAT